TATCAACAAGTGAATCTAAAAATCAAGTGAATAAAAAAAATCTGATGAACAGAATCAACTGGTGAATGTAATAGAATCAGGGACATAGAAAGGGAGGAGAATACAATTCTCAGGGGGAAGGGGTTGTGGGGAGTGCGGAAGAGATTGGACAAAAATCTTACACCTATGGACAAGGACAGTGTGGTGGGGGAGTAAGAGCATGGGATGTGGTGGGAACTGGGTGGAGGGGAGCTATGGGGGGCGGGAAAGAGGAACAACTGTAATAATCTGAACAATAAATAAAGATTTATTTAAAAATAAATAAATAAATAAATCTAAAGTAATTGATGAAACCGGTATAATTCTAAGAAGGAATGCAATTCTAATGAAGAAAAAAAAAAGATTCACAAATACTGTCAAATAAACTGTACAATCCCAATGCTACCAGGATGACCAAGCACATTTTTATGTGTAAGAAGTGCACTACAGTTTGTTTTTTTTAAAAAGGAATTCTTCATGGATATAAGAGAGGAAGAATCACAGAGGGACAAGTTGTTTTTACCACCATTCTATCACCACATGTTCTGATGTTCCTTCTGCAAAGTGAACGCAGAGAGGAACCCAATTAACTTTCTTGAGTAATCAAATGTTTAAAACAAGTAAATACACAAAAACCTTTTAACAACCTTCATTTGTAGGCAAGGTAACCACAAACAATCAATCAATAAAATGACCAAGCACTTGTAAGAAGATTGTATTTGTCACAGGGCTGTGTTGCTTACTGACAGTACATCTGACTGGCTTCCTGTCCCCAGATTTTCCCAACCCAGGTGGCTGCTCCTTTGCAAATTCACCTAGATCTTCCTAGGTTTCTGGATGATCCTGAAAGTTCTCCTGTTCCCCAAGTTCTAGACTTATCCCAAATCAATCCATTCTGCCACCATTTCAAGCCTTAGAATGGAGAGGCATTATGTGCAACATGGTGTAATGCGTTAGCGTTTGCCTGAGCATTGGAGCCAAATTTGCCCGCAAATTCTGGTTTGGGCACTTCCTTGCTCTATGACTTTCAATAAGTCACTTAACCTTCCAGAGCTTCAATTTTTCCTTATCTACAAAAGGGAAATTACAAGGAATATCCAAGGATTAGTAATGTTATCTGTAAATGCACCTAACAGAATGCTCAATATTAGGTACTCATTAACTGGTAGCTATTGCTAGGGCATTTAAGACTACTGTTTCATTTGTCCACCACATGTTATCTTTAATCAAGACTCCTTTTGGAATCAGGCTATACACAGGTAATGGGATCTTGATAGGAAGAATCAGTGAGGCATTGTGTCTCAGAGTACTTATTGGCTATTCAGGAATAAAGAGTCATTAAACTGTCAAAAGTGTGTACAATAATTTTTTTATGTGGTGGGGGGGAGGGGGGGATGACCCTGAAATAGAAGAGGACAATACCTGCATGTTGAGTTAATTGTCAAATATGTGTTCACCTTCTATAGACCAAGAACCTTTATTGGATACGAATGTAAGTAACATGGACGCTATCTGCGAGATCACAGGCGTGTAGTTCTTTCCTTCTAAGGACTCTATATCTCATGGCCTAATTCTGCTTCCTCATGTCATCACATCATCATAAAGTTGAAAGCTTCACAGAGATCTTTAAAAAACTAGAAGTTACAAAACATCCACATGCTACTCATAACAAGAAGTTATTTATTAAAAAAATTATTTTTAAAAAAATGTCTTCTGTTCAAAAAAAGAAGCAAGGGAACAAAAAGAATGCAAAGAATGCCAAAGGCACATTAAAACCTTGTAGTAAAACTTGATAGGATGAAGTAGAAAGTTCCTTTGAGAGTTAAAAAAAACTTCAAAAACAGCAATAGTTATTGATGATCTTAATGTACTTAGAAAAACAGGAACAAACTTAAGGCTGTATTTTTTCAGTTTAATTACAGAGCTACAAACTCCAGAATATTTTAAAACCATGCTATTTAACATCTGAATAAAATCATGCAGTTTTGTTAGATATTTGCCAACTAAATGATGGATAAAAATCAACTTTAAATATATTTTGAGACTCAAAATGTATTTCTAATGATAGAACCAAAGAACATGAGTAATAGACTTTTTTTTATTGTTTAAAGTATTATATGTTCATTTTTTCCGATTACTCCCCCCGCCACCACTTCCACGCCCAAGGGCAAGCCCCCAACTGCCCCAGTATCTGTGTCCATTGGTTATGCTAATATGCATGCATCCAAATCCTTTGGTTGATCTCTAACCCCCCTCCGCTTCCCTCCCCTGCTTTCTCCCCGAGGTTGGACAATCTGCTCAGTGCCACCTTGTCTCTGGATCTATTCTTGTTCATCAGTTTATGTTGATCATTATATCCCACATATGAGTGAGATCATGTGATATTTATCTTTTTCCGACTGGCTTATTTTGCTTAGCATGATGCTCTCCAGTTCCATCCATGCTATTGCAAATGGTAAGAATTCCTTCTTTCTTATACCAGCATAGTATTCCATTGTGTAGATGTACCACTGTTTTTAATCCATTCATCTGCTGATGGGCACTCAGGCTGTTTCCAAATCTTAGCTATTGTAAATTGTACTACTATGAGCATGGGGGTGCATATATCCTTTCTAATCGGTGTTTCTGGTTTCTTGGGATATATTCCTAGAAGTGGGATTACTGGGTCAAATGGAAGTTCCATTTTTAACATTTTCAAGAAACCGCATACTGTTTTCCACAGTGGCTGCACCAGTCTGTATTCCCACCAGCAGTGGATGAGGGTTCTGATTAGCCACAGCAATCCTCAGAAAGAAGACCAAAGTTGGAGGGATCACAATACCAGATACCAAGCTATATTACAAAGCCATGGTTCTCAAAACTGCCCGATACTGGCACAAGAACAGACATATAAACCAATGGAACAGAACAGAGAACCCAGACATAGATGTAAAAAAACTCTAATTTAAAAAATGGGCAAAGGACCTAAATAGACACTTTTTGAAAGAAGTCGTACAGAAGGCAGAGAGACATTTGAAAACATGCTCAAAGTCACTAATCATTGGAGGGATGCAAATCAAAACAACAATGAGGTATCATCTCACACCTGTCAGAATGGCTATCATCAACAAATCAACAAAACACAAGTGCTGGCAAGGATGTGGAGTAACAGACTTTCAAAGGACCTAAATAGACACTTTTTGAAAGAAGTCGTACAGAAGGCAGAGAGACATTTGAAAACATGCTCAAAGTCACTAATCATTGGAGGGATGCAAATCAAAACAACAATGAGGTATCATCTCACACCTGTCAGAATGGCTATCATCAACAAATCAACAAAACACAAGTGCTGGCAAGGATGTGGAGTAACAGACTTTTATTCAGAAACAGGAGTTAATTGTCATTAGTCAATTCCAAATATAAAGAAAAAAAAGAGGCCAGCACTATGACCATATTTTACAGGACTTGAAAGCAAGTGGTATCACCTTGAAGGGACAGATGGGATCCAATGGATAATTCTAGTTGCAGAGAAGAACTGTGATGTCTGAGTGAGGCTATGACAGCAGTTATAAGGCACAGACTCTCCAAAGAGCAGGAAGCTCCAGAATGAAAGTAGAGTACTAGAAGAAATACATACCTATTTCCTGGGGAGGAGCCAGATGCCAGGTTCAGACAGGTTGAAGGTCGAATGTGGCACCAGAACACCTGTGATGTACAAGGAAGTAAATAGGATTGATGAGGAATTAAGGAACTGGATATGTTTAATGGAGAGAGGGATGAAGAAATAGAGCCAGAACAGCATGACATCAGTCAGGATCACTGATCGGGAGCAGAGTAGGGGACACACGGTGAGACTTCAGAATCCAGCCAGCAATTGCTTCTAAACATGAGCTTGTGGGCTTGGCCTAATTTTCACAATGTCAGCCAGGACCTTCTGCCTGCTATTTTCAATTCTTAAAGTGGTAAAGCCTGGCCAGGTGGACAACAGTGTGAGTCTTGGCAAGCAGCATCTTTGTGATTTGATATTGCAAAAACAGAATGTATTCAGGTAGTAGGTCCCAGAACACAGCCTTGGATTCTGCCAAACAAATATGTCCTGAAATATGCTGGAAAGGCCTTTACACAGCAAGGTATTGGCACCTCTTCCTTCTCATCTAAGATGTCCCCAACTTCTTCAGCCAGTGTCAAAATTAAACATTCACCACAAACCAAGACATAACCTGATTCATGATAAAGCAGAAAATTGTTTCAATTTGGGCAATCCTGTAATTTTTAGAAGGCTATGAAATGGGAATAATAGGGTATCAGATGCCCAGAGTCAATTGAGGATTTCTTCATTCATCTCAGTTATTGATTTATATAATAATTTCAGGCAAGTAGCCTTGGATGAGAAATAAATCTGCAACTCCATTTATAATTCTAAATGGATATATTGGTATTATATCTTGCTCTCTGAGTTGGGGACACCTTAACCTCATTCCAAAGTCTGACAATTGTGTTATCATATGAACTGGGAATGTTTTTTCTGGCTTACCTAGATGAACCAGTAAGTATACCTAGCTAAAATACACAAACATATCTGAAACAGTGCACGTTGAAGCTGCATGGAACACCAATCAGAAATCATACTGTTTCAATTCTGCCTCCTAAATATCTCCCAAATCAATCCACATTTTCTTTCTAGACCTATTAGTGCCATTATCCTAGTTTAGGGCCCATCACCTGGATTATTTAAACAGCTTCTTAATTGGCCTTCAGTCTTATTTTCCCTCGTTTCGTCCAATGTCTTTTCCATACTATGGGATTTATGGTTTTTTTAAAATATTTAACCTGATCATTTCACTTCCCTAGTTAAAACCTTAAATGGAGCCCTAGTTCTCTTGGGATAAAACCCATATTCCTTGAAATGGTCTACAAAGATTTTTATGACTGCCTTATCATTCACTTCACCAATTTGAATTCCATATTCCAGCCCCACTGGACAACTTTCATCTCCCAAATACCATGTTTTCTCACCTCTCAGTCTTTCACTTTATGTACTCTCTGCCTGTAACATTCTTCATGACCTCTCTTCTACCTCTCCCCCTTCAACTTTCATGGCTTGTTGCTACTTTCCCTTCAGGTTTAGTCAGACACTATTTGTGCTCACCGGTGTCCACTTTTCCTTCTTCATTCTTGGCACATGGATTATATTTTCTAGCCTCCTTTGCAGTTAGGTGTGACCGTGCAACTAAATAAAATGTGGTAGAAGTGATGTGTTACTCTCAGACCTGGTCCATAAAACTTCCCCACAAGTAAAGCTTGCTCTCTTTCTCCATCCATCACCGGACTGGGAGGGATTCAGAGGACTTCAAGGAAGACAGAGGTCTAAGATGAAGGTGCCTGAGGCTTTCATTTGACTGTGACATGAGCAAGAAGTAATTCATTATGGCATTACTTTCCTTAAGCAACACTAAATCATAGCTTAGTTTTAAATTTTCCAGAGAAACCTTCTTTGATTGACATTATCTGTCTTCTCCACTCTGCTGTAAGCTCAGTAAGGACAGAGACCATTATTTTATTCACTATTGTGTCTCAGTTCTTACTACAGGGCATGTACACAATGCATAAACAAACGAAAAATATGTGTTGAATGTTAAAGTAATGGGCTTTATTTATTTTTTAAATTTATCTTCATTGTTGAAAATATTACAGATGTCCCTCCTTTATTCCCCCACTGACCCTGCTCTACCCGACTCTCACACATTGCCCCCCCACCCCTAGCCTTCACCACACTATTGTCCTGTTGTCTGTGTTCATGGATCATGCATAGATACATATAAGTTCTTTGGTTAGTCTTCCCCCACACCTTCCGAGATTCATCAGTCTATATACCGTGCTTCCATGTCACTGATCTATTTAGTTCATCAGTTTATTTTGTTCACTAGATTCCACATATGAGTGAGATCATGTGATACTTATTTCTCCCTGACTGGCTTATTTTGCTTACTTTATATTGAAGCTTCCAAGATTCAAATTTGAGTTTTCAAAAGTTAAACATATAAGATTAAATTTGGAAAAGTTCACTTAATTCCTTTTCATAGCAGAGAGGAAACCATGAAAAACTGGAACATTCTTACATCCATGCAAGCAAACAACTTTAAGAAACAAAAATCCTCATGTTGGGAGCAAGAACATTAATACAAGTATCTCACTCTGGCGCTGTAGCTGGTCTGCTTTTTGATTTTACCTAGAAGAGGCAACCATGATAAGGATATCTTTCCCTGGAGTGTCAAGAAGCTTTTGAAAAGCCAAAATAGGTTCTGATGTTTCTTATCAGTTTTTAGAGCCCCAGGCATTTCAAGCCTGTTCAAAGTGGCAGTTGACATGTTCAATAATGTTTGGAACACTTTGTTATAGGACCATAAAACAATAGTCATCTACTTATGAGAAAAATGTTGCTAAGATAAAGAAACCTGTCTTCTCTCTAACATTAATATAAAGCAATTTGTACTTCTTGGATAAACTGGATCTCTATATTCGGCCAAGTTATTTGAGTGTGTGTGTTAACTGATCATCATGCTCTCTCTTAACAGTGGTCTCTG